AGAGCACCAGAGTGACATGTGTCCACGGCACAGAACATTTCTACCCCACAATTCCAATACGGATTGAGATCCAGGGAAACACTACCAAGATGACTGCAGGGGTGGTCCCCAAGCTTCCCTACCCAGTCTTAATTGGCAGAGACTTTTCTGGGTTTGAGAGCTTACTCCCCCCGCATCGAGTTAGGGGAGGGAAGTAAACCCCAAGCAGAGTTCAAGGCATCCATGGATGGCCCTACCATATTTTTTGCTGGGTTTTCCCCAGAGTTATTTTCATCCCCCGGGAAGTCTTGGAAATCCAGATGGGAAAGGAGGGCAGACAAAAGACTAGGAACCAGGATTTTGGCAGCAAACCAAAGAGCTGCCCTGGTTGGGAGGAAGTCCCGTGGAGACCCAGAAATGGCCCCCAGCACAAGCAGAAGCACCACAAGAGAAGGAGGGGAGCCCATTCCGATAGAATCAGGCCAGATCGGTCCCACACGTAAATATTTTGGGCAGGACCAAGCTGATGACCCACTGTATGTGAACGTGAGGGACGATGTAGTAGAGGTAAATGGTGTGCAAGTAGAAGGGAAAACCAAAGTCCCAGGGCCCTACTATTATTATCAAGCAGGATCTGTTGTACCAGGTAGTGCCAATACAGGGGGGAAGTAGTTGAACAGCTCTTGGTGCCACGGAAGCACACAAGGGCCGTATTAGAGTTAGCTCACAGTCATCTGTTTGGGGGACATTTAGGAATAGACAAGACCCTGGATAGAGTCCTAAGGAGGTTCTACTGGCCGGGGTTACGGGCAGAAGTCTGGCGCTATTGCACCTCCTGCCCAGAGTGCCAGCTGCATAGTCCCCGACCTCAGTTAAGGGCCCCGTTGGTACCCTTACCTATAATTGAAGTTCCTTTTGAAAGGATAGCAATGGATCTAGTGGGACCACTAGAAAACAGCCCGGGGCCACCGAAGCATACTCGTTATTCTGGACTACGCTACACGGTACCACGAAGCCATTCCTTTAAGAAACCCCATGTCCAAGGTGATTGCAAAAGAACTGGTGCAGGTTTTTGCTAGGGTAGGCATCCCTAAGGAGATCCTGACAGACCAAGGGACTCCCTTCATGTCGAGAGTAATGAAAGACTTATGTACCCTGCTTCACATCCAAGCCTTGCGAACCTCGGTCTACCATCCCCAAACAGATGGTCTGGTTGAGTGATTTAACCAAACTCTCAAGAGTATGATACAAAAGGTGGTGGCCCAAGATGGAAAAGACTGGGATACCCTCCTCCCATACCTGATGTTTGCAATACAAGAAGTTCCCCAAGCATCTACTGGATTCTCCCCCTTCGAGTTACTGTATGGATGTCACCCACATGGCATATTAGACATTGCGAAGGAGGAATAGGAGGAAAAACCCAACCCAGGGAAGCACGTCATTACACATGTAGCCCAGATGAGAGAATGAATAGCCCAAGTGACCCCCATAGTAAGAGAACATTTGGAAAAAGCACAAGAGAACCAGCGAACCTACTACAATCGGGCAAAAACACGGTAATTGGTGCTGGTACCAACAACAGAAAGTAAGCTCCTGGCCAGTTGGCATGGACCCTATGAGATTGTGGAAGCCATTGGGGAGGTGAATTATAAGGTGAAGCAGCCAGACTGCTGAAGGCCAGAGCAGATATACCACATCAACTTACTGAAACCCTGGCATGATTGGGAGACATGCCTGGCTGTCCTGCCAGTTCCATCCCAGGCAGATGGCCCACAAGGGCAGGTAAAGATATTCCCCGAATTAGCCCCAGAACAATGAACAGAGGTTGTCGAATGATCCAGAGGAACCAAGACGTGTTCTTTACACAACCAGGCCATACAACGCTGATCCAGCACCACATTGTCACCTCTCCCAGAGCAAGGGTGACGACAAAGCCATATCGCTTTGTCTATGCCCAATGGCCTTTTCCAATATACCGTCCTCCCTTTTGGGCTCCATGGGGCCCCCGCGACTTTCCAACTATTGATGGACAGATTACTTAGATCCCATGCCAAGTATGCTGCCACCTATTTAGATGATGTGGTAATCCATAGCCCTGACTGGGAGAAAGTGGAAGTGGTACTAGATACTCTTAGACAGGCTGGCCTCACCGCTAACCTGTCCAAATGTGCAACAGGGTTAGCCGAGGCCAGATACCTCGGGTATGTACTTGGAAGGGGCCTGTTGAAGCCCCAGTGGAACAAAGTGTAGGCAATACAGGAATGGCCCCGCCCAATCCAGAAGAAGCAAGTCAGAGCATTCTTAGGGATAGTGGGGTACTATTGCTGGTTCATCCCTCACAAGAGCTCGGGGCCCAGAGACAGTTAAGTGGACCGAAGCGGCAGAAGAAGCTTTCAGAGACCTAAGGATGGCCCTTTGCAGTCATCCAGTGCTCATAGCCCCAGATTTTAAAAACTAATTCATCTTTCAGATGCCTCGGAGGTAGGACTTGGGGTTGTCCTTTCACAGATGGTGGGGGATGAGAAGCACCCAATCCTTTACCTTAGCCAAAAGCTCCTGCCCAGGGAGCAACGATATGCTGTAGTAGAAAAAGAATACCTAGCGGTTAAATGGGCCATGGAAATTCTACAGTATTATCTGCTTGGGCGGCGGTTCACTCTTGTGATAGACCATGCCCCGCTCCAATGGATGCACACAAACAAGGAGAGGAATGCACAAGTGATTAGATGGTTTCTATCCCTACAACCTTTCCACTTCTGGATACAGCATAGAGCTGGAAGCCAACACGGCAAAGCGGATAGCCTGTCACGACAACACTGTCACTCGTCCCAAGTAGCCCAACCCCATGGTATTGAGTGGTGGTGGTGGTATGTAATACAGAAGGGCCAGGGAGCAGCGGTAGAGTGGTCAAGGAGAAATATATAAACCCTAGGCTAATTAAGGCGTGGTTCCTTGTAGACTAGAGAGGGTTGCTACAGATTAATTGGAGCACTGTGGTCAATTAAACCCTGTCAGGAACCCAATAAAACCCCCTGCTTCAGGCAGTTGGAGGAGGAGGAAGGAGAGAGGACTGGAGCTTGGAGGTTTGTTGAGAGATTTGGAAGACCTGAGAATTGAAGTAAGGGAGACCCTGCCCCAGTGGGACAGGGGGAGTCCCTTCCCCCCAACACCTAAGGACCGAGGGTAACCCCACCTAAGGGGGACGAGAGTAAGAAACCCGCAGGGATTGAGAGGGGCTGGGACTCAGAGTGAGGAGCAAACCCAGACCCCTCCCCCGCTTCCCTCCTCTACCACCTTCCCGGGCTAGTAGCGGGACCCTCGGCACCCAAGAGCAGGGGCAAGGGGTGGCATCTTAGCCCCTCCCCAAGAAAAGTGCAGGACCCACCATATAAACATCGGCCATCTTGCCACAATATAAAATGATGGGGTCTAAATTAGCTGTTACCACTCAAAGAGATCTTGGAGTCATTGTGGATAGTTCTTTGAAAACATCCACTCAATGTGCAGCAGCAGTCAAAAAAGCTTACAAAATGTTGGGAATCATCAAGAAAGGGACAGATAATAAGACGGAGAATATCGAATTGCCTCTATATAAATCCATGGTATGTCCACATCTTGAATACTGTGTGCAGATCTGGTCGTCCCATCTCAGAAAAATATATATATTTTGGAATTGGAAAAGGTTCAGAAAAAAGCAAGAAAAATGATAGGGGTATGGAACAGCTTCCATATGAGGAAAGATTGAAAAGACTGGGATTTTTCAGCTTTCAAAAGAGATGACTAAGGGGGGATATGATAGAGGTCTATAAAATCATGACTGGTGTGGAGAAAGTAAATAAGGAAGTGTTATTTACTCCTCATAATTCGGGCTCCATGTCTGTCACAGAGGTCGCAGAAGTCACAGATTCTGTGACTTTTCGCAACCTCCGTGACTTCTGCAGCGGCCAGTGTGGGTGGCCTTGGGACCACCTGAGCAGCTAGTTTGGGGGCCAGCTGCTCAGGTGCCCCAGGGACAGCTGCACTGGCCACTGCTGGAGCAGCCCGGGGCTAGTCGCACCAGCTGCTGCTCTGGCAGCCCCAGGTAGCTGGCCCTGGGGACTGCCCGAGCAGCAGTTCCCGGGGTAGTCAGAGCAACCGCTGCTCTGGTGCTCCCAGTAGTGGTTCCTGGGTGGCTGAAGAAGCCGCTGTTCTGGTGGCTCCTGCCAGTTGTCCCCAGGGCGGCCGGAGCAGCTGCTGCTCCAGTGGACCCCCGGCTGCAGGTGCCGCTGGCCCAAGCCCCCTCCTCCAGCAGCAGCCCTCTGGGGTGCACCCCCGCAGCAGCCACCCCAAGATTTAGTCAGGAGTATTTATAGTATAAGTCATGAACAGGTCATGGGCCGTGAATTTTTGTTTATTGCCGATGACCTGTCCATGACTTTTACTAAAAATACCCATGACTGAGTCGTACCCTTACTTATAACATAAGAACTAAGGGTCACCAAATTAAATTATTAGGCAGCAGGTTTAAAACAAGCAAAAGGAAGTATTTGTTCATACAATGCACAGTCAACCTGTGGAACTCCTTGCCAGAGGATGTTGTGAATGCCAAAACTATAAACAGGGTTCCAAAAAAAAACTAGATACATTCATGGAGAATAGGTCCATCAATGGCTATTAGCCAGGATGGGCAGGAATGGTGTCCCTAGCCTTAGTTTTGCCAGAAATTGAGAATGGGGAACAGGGGATGGATCACTTGATGGTTACATATTCTGTTCATTCCCTCTGAAGCACCTGGCATTAGCCACTGTTGAAAGACAGGATACTGGGCTAGATGGACTTTTGGTCTGACTCAGTATGGCAATTCTTATGTTCTTAGTGTAAGAGCCTGATTATAAAGTCTGTGTGCCCTGAGTTAAAAAAGTCCCCAGTAAGCTGTGAATTAATTATTATTGATCCCAGGTAACTGGGGCTCCTTTATCTCATCTCTGTAGACAATTGTGTAAGAGAAATGTCCCTCTGATCTCCCTTTTCCTTGTTCTCAGGGTATGCCGGGTACAGGCTGGCAAATGGCAGCACAGGGTGTTCGGGGAGAGTGGAGCTTCACCATGGAGGCGCCTGGGGAACCCTCTGTGATTCCCAGTGGGATTTACAGGCTGCCCACACCCTCTGCCAGCAGCTTGACTGTGGATTCGCCCTGTCAATGCCAGCAGGGCAGCTCTTTGGGACAGGAGATGGGCCTGTCTGGAACGGCACGTTTGGCTGCGAGAGGAACGAATCCCGTCTGAGGGACTGTCCTGTTACTGCTCTGGGTACAACTGAGTGTCCCCCTGGGAGCAAAGCCAGCGTGGTGTGTTCAGGTGAGCTGCAGTGGGAAGAGGAGCTGAAAGCAGAGGAAGGAATGTCCAGTGGTTAGAGCACTAGCCTGGGCTGTGGGAGAGCTGTGTTCAGTTCCTGCTCCACCACAAAATCCTATATGACCCGGGGGAAGTTCCTTAGTCTCTCTGGGCCTCAATTCCCCTCCTGTAAAATGGGGATAACTGTACTTCCCTATCTCACAGGGGTGGTATGAAGATGCATATATGAAAGACTCTTGTCCTCCCTTTGCACTAAGTGGGATGGATCAAGTATCAGTTTGTGCATATGCTGATGGAGAAAAGCCACACAGCCCCGACAGAGTAACTGCTAGCATTGCGCACGAGCAACAATCCCTTCCTGTTCCCCACTCCCTTCCCTGTTGTTGCCATTAACACTGATCACTGTGCCATCTCAACACTTACTTTCCCTTGTACTCAGAGTGCTCAGGCGGCAGGTTAGTGAACGGCACCGAGTGCTCCGGGAGAGTGGAGATCCGACATGGAGACACATGGGGAAGCCTCTGTGACTCCCACTGGGATTTGCAAGATGCCAATGTCCTCTGCCATCAGCTGAACTGTGGATACGCCGAGTCGACCTGGGGAGGAGCCCATTTTGGGGAAGGGAGAGGAACCGTATGGAGCGATGCTTTTCATTGTGAAGGGACTGAATCCTGTCTGTGGGATTGTTCTCGCACAGCCCTGGGCAACCCAGCCTGCTCCCCCAGAGACACAGCCAGGGTTATTTGCTCAGGTAAGTTTAATATAGACGTGTATATGTTAGTTACAGTGCAATGTACTGCCCAGATTAGTACATTCACGAGTAGTCCCATTGACTACAGTATTCAATGTAGATAGGGGTACCAGAACCTTGCTTTCTTCATTTCATGTTCCCCAGAACAGAGACCCCTCTGGACGCAGTGAGTGGGGTCGGGAGGTAGATCCTAGTACTACAGTAGAGTGAACTGGAGAGAATGGCTATGCACTGTAAACTTGAGTTTTGCAGTTCACAGATTCCTTCAGACCTCAGCAGGACTGATCCAGCCATTCATCAGGTTGAGGCTGGCATTTCAGAAGTGAGCTATGTGCAGAGATGTCATCCAAGCTGTGGTGCCATTACAATCCAGTTTTACTCTCTGGAAAAGTAGGTGTTTGCCCCGGTGTTCTGGACAAAATGCTTCCTCTTCTCCCTCCCGCACTTATCCAAACTGTGTCACATGCTTTTACTCTGCAGCCCTAATCTGCAGATTTTGCAGTGTGTGTGTGTATATGTTTATAGATAACTAATACCCCCAAACACTTCATGTAATAGTAATTTCTTTACCAAAGATCTTGGTTTTCAGGAAAGTGTTCAGATGTTCTCTTGAGCAGGCTTAGATGTCCCTAAGAGCAGGGTCTTTGTGAAATTTAGCACCTGACTCAGATCTTGCTCTCAGGGTAGGTCTACACTACCACATATGTTGATATAACTTCCATTGCTCAGGGGTGTGAAAAAGCTACCCCCTGAGCATCACAAGTTATAGCGACCTAACTTCTGTCCACTTATGATGTTATGTCGGCAGGAGACGTTTTCCCACTGACATAGCTTCCAGCTCTCATGGAGGTGGAGTAATTATGCTGAAGGCAGAACTCTCTCCCATTAGCATAGACCATCTTCCCTAGATGATCTACAGCTGTGCAGGCTGCATCAGTAGAGTTGTGCTGATTTAGCACTTCTAGTGTAGACTAGCGTTTAGTGACAGCAGCTGGTGCTTTGCTGAAGATCCTCCTCTACAAAGCAACACAAATACTGCAGGGGTCTTTTTTCCTCAAGGTTTCTCTGAAGCTTTCCCTCAATCAACTTCAAAGGCTTTTTCATGCCACACTAGAGAACAGAAGTAGCTGACGGAGTATGTTTCATAGATTTATAGATTCCAAGGCCAGAAAGTACCATTGTGATCTAGTCTGATCTCCTGTATAACAGAAGCCATAGACCTTCCTCAAAATAATTTCTTTTCAACTAGACCATATGGTTTTAAAAAAACACCCAGTCTTGATTTAAAATTTGACAGTGATGGAGAATCCACCATGACCCTTGGTAAATCGTTCCAATGGTTAATTATGCTCACTGTTTTCTATTCTGAATCTGTCTAGCTTCAACTTCCAGCCACTGGGTCTTATTATACCTTCATCTTTTAATCTGAAGAGCCTATTATCAAATATTTGTTCCCCATGTAGATATACAGAGTGATCAAGTCACCCCTTAACCTTCTCTTTGTCAAGTTAAATAGATCGAGCTCCTTGAGTCTAGCACTCTAAAGCATGCTTCCAATCCTTCAATTATTATTCTGGTTCTTTTCTGAACCCTCTCCAATTGATAACATTCTTCTTGAATTGTGGATACCAGAACAAGATGTCGTATTACAACAGTGGTTGCACCAGAGCCAAATACAGGGGTAAAATAATTTCTCTACTCCTACTCAAGATTCCCCTCTTTATGCATCCAAGGATCGCATCAGCCCTTTTGACCACAGTGTTGCTCTGATAATTTATGTTCAGGAGATTATCCACCATGACCCCTAAATCTTTTCCAGAGTCAGTGCTTCCCAGGATAGAATCCCCCATCATGTAAGTGTGGCCGACATTCTTTGCTCCTAGATACATTTAACCATATTAAAACATATATTGTTTGCTTCTGTCTATCTTACTAAGGGTATGTCTACACTACGAAATTAGGTTGAATTTATAGAAGTTGGTTTTGTAGAAAGCGTTTTTACACAGTCAATTGTGTGTGTCCCCACACAAATGCTCTAAGTGCATGTAGTCGGTGGAGTGTGTCCACAGTACCGAGGCACCCGTCGACTTCCGGAGCTTTGCACTGTGGGTAGCTATCCCACAGTTCCCGCAGGCTCCGCCACCCATTTGAATTCTGGGTAGAAATCCCAGTGCCTGATGGGGCTAAAACATTGACGTGGGTGGTTCTGGGTACATATCGTCAGGCCCCCCTTCCCTCCCTCCTTCCGTGAGAGCAAGGGCAGACAATCGTTTTGCGCCTTTTTTCTTGAGTTACCTGTGCAGATGCCATACCATGGCAAGCATGGAGCCCGCTCAGGTAACCGTCACCGTATGTCTCCTGGGTGCTGGCAGACGTGGTACTGCATTGCTACACAGCAGCAGTTTATTGCCTTTTGGCAGCAGACAGTGCAGTATGACTGGTAGCCATCGTTGACGTAGTCCTGGGTGCTCTTTTAACCGACCTTGATGAGGTCGGGGTGCCTGGGCAAACATGGGAGTGACTCAGACAGGTCATTTCCCTTTTAAGTTTTGTCTCATGGCGATTCAGTCCTACCGGCAGTGTACTGTCTTTTAATCAGCAGCCAGCAGAAGATGATGGCCAGCAGTCATACTGCACTGTCTTCTGCCAAGCACCCAGGAGATGACGATGGCTAGCAGTCATACTGCACAGTCTGCTGCCAGCAAGATCTATAAAGATAGATGAAGTGGCTCAAAACAAGAAATAGACCAGATTTGTTTTGTATTCATTTTCTCCTTCCTCCCTCCATGAAATCAACGGCCTGCTAAACCCAGTTTTGAGTTCTATCCTTGAGGGGGCCATTCAGTTTCTCGCAAAGCCACCCCCTTTGTTGATTTTAATTCCCTGTAAGCCATGTTGTCAGTCGCCCCTCCTTCCATCAGGGCAACGGCAGACAATTGTTCTGCGCCTTTTTTCTGTGAAGACGCCATACCCCGGCAAGCATGGAGCCCACTCAGATCACTTTGGAAATTAGGAGCACATTAAACACCACATGCATTATCCAGCAGTATATGCAGCACCAGAACCTGGCAAAGCAAAACCGGGCAAGTAGGCAACATCAGTACGGTGACGAGAGTGATGAGGACATGGACACAGACATCTCTCAAAGCACGGGCCCTGGCAATGTGGGCATCATGGTGCTAATGGGGCAGGTTCATGCGGTGGAACACTGATTCTGGGCTTGGGCAACAAGCACAGACTGGTGGGACCGCATAGTGTTGGAAGTCTGGGACGATTCCCAGTGGCTGTGAAACTTTCACATGCATAAGGGCACTTTCATGGAACTTTGACTTGCTTTCCCCTGCCCTGAGGTGCAAGAATACCAAGATGAGAGCAGCCCTCACAGTTAAGAAGTGAGTGGCACTAGCCCTGTGGAAGCTTGCAACGCCAGACAGCTACCGGTCAGTCAGGAATCAATTTGGAGTGGGCAAATCTACTGTGGGGGATGCTGTGATGCAAGTAGCCAACACAATCAAAGATCTGCTGATATCAAGGGTAGTGACCCTGGGAAATGTGCAGGTCATAGTGGATGGCTTTGCTGCAATGGGATTCCCTAACTGTGGTGGGGCCATAGACGGAACCTATATCCCTATCTTGGCACCGGAGCACCAAGTCGGCGAGTACATAAACTGCAAGGGGTACTTTTCAATAGTGCTGTAAGCACTGGTGGATCACAAGGGACGTTTCACCAACATCAATGTGGGATGGCTGGGAAAGGTACATGACGCTTGCATCTTCAGGAACTCTGGTCTGTTTCAAAAGCTGCAGGAAGGGACTTTATTCTCAGACCAGAAAATAACCGTTGGGGATGTTGAAATGCCTATAGTTATCCTTGGGGACCCAGCCTACCCCTTAATGCCATGGCTCATGAAGCCATACACAGGCAACCTGGACAGTAGTCAGGAGCTGTTCAACTACAGGCTGAACAAGTGCAGAATGGGGGTAGAATGTGCATTTGGACGTTTAAAAGCACGCTGGTGCAGTTTACTGACTCAGTTAGACCTCAGCGAAACCAATATTCCCAATGTTATTACTGCTTGCTGTGCTCTCCACAATATCTGTGAGAGTAAGGGGGAGACGTTTATGGTGGGGTGGGAGGTTGAGGCAAATCGTCTGGCTGCTGGGTACACACAGCCAGACACCAGGGCGGTTAGAAGAGCACAGGAGGGCGCAGTGCGCATCAGAGAAGCTTTGAAAACCAGTTTCATGACTG